ATTATAACACATTGTTGTATCGGAATGTCGGACGAAGCATTAGCTCGTTTACCATCACGTGATAATATTAAACGTCGCATTAGAATGTTACGTCAAGATAAAAAGCTTCCATCAGCCCCAAATGATCCTAATTTTCCAAATGTTCCAACAGCTTTAACCGTAACATCTCGCGGTGATAAATTTTTACGTTGTGATACGGGACCAGGTAATGCCACCATACAATTATGTCTAAGAATTTTTCATTTCATTAATAGAATTGTTGTCTTAATAATCAATTTTTCTTTTCAACAGGACCAGATCGAATGTTAATATTTGCCAGTTCTGAATAATTAGATATTTTACAATCATGTGATGATTTTCTTGTTGATGGTATATTTAAAGTATGCATAGAAGTAGGTATTTCTTGGGTTTCGGTGGAAATTTCAGTTGAGTGAAGTAAAAGTAAATATTCCTATGTTTAGGTTGTTTCTGAGATTTTTTATCAATTATATGTTGTATATGCCGTCTATCGTGGACATGTTGTACCAGTTGTCTATTCATTACTCAGTCGTAAAAATAGTGATACCATATCAACGTCTTATAAATGAAATAGTAGAATTTGCTCCATGCTGGTTCCCTGCTTCTATTTTACTTGATTTCGAAAAGGCATGTATTAATGTATATGACAGTAGTTTCGTTAATATATCATTATCTGGTTGTTATTTCCATTTTCGTCAAAATCTTCATCGACAACTTCAGGTAACACTGAAGTAATTTAGTATAAAAATACGTTCGAATAGAATATGTTCGCTCTTCAATGTATAACTTTTGTTTTTGTATATTAGATATTAGGTTATCAGAATCGTTATCAAGAAGATGTTAAATTTGCTCATAATATTAATAAAATAGCTGCGTCAGCTTTTATTCCACCTTGTGATGTATTACATGCATATTCACGTCTTGCATTAGATCTTGATAATGATTACCAAGATATTTTAAATTATTTTGAAGATACATATATAGGACGACTTCGCCCTAACAATACACGACGTCAACCAACATTTAGTATTGAATTTTGGAATATGCATACAAGGACAACACAATTATCGATGCGTACAAATAATTCTGTGGAAGCATGGCATCGTCGTATAGGATGTGTATTTCAATGCGCACAACCTACGCTTTGGTCATTTTTACAAAAATTAATTCATGAAGAACATGCAACGCATGCTGATGTTGTTCATATAAATAGTGGTGAAGCACCAAAACATAAAAGTAAAACAAATGAACGGTTTGAACGACGTCTTTTAAATCTTTTATTGCATCCACATGATGATATTCTTATGCAACTAAATAATATTGCACAGAATATTTGCTTATAAAATAAATATTTCTTTCTTTGTTGATCATCTGATAAAAAATTTAATATTTCATATAATAGTATATTGAATAAATTAATTAAATTAACTTCCTCTTAAATTTTTTCAACTGTTTATGATACAAAAAATTTAATGATGTTTAATTGGATAAACTATAAATTTGTGCTCACTTTTCCTAGTGCTCAACTTTCCTCGTGCCCATATTTCCCAGTGCTCAACTTTCCCGTGCTCATCTTTCCGTGCTCAAGTTTCTTCGTGCTCATGTTTCCGGTTCCCAACTGACGATACCTGGAGTGATCGACAAATAACACACTAACGCAGCAATTGATGTAGTTCCGCCTCCGTATTTCCACTTCACGTCTCAATGAATACCGCTTTATTTATTGGTCTCTTTGATCTCACTCTTCATGCTATTTTACCTATCTCGTATTCTATTCGGGAACAGTGACAGATAGCAAAATCAAGAATAATTTCGCACTGACCACTACTTTTACACATTCATTCCCTGACGTACCTGCGCGCGGAGGGAGGGGGATTGAGTGTGAGTAGATTCTACAACATATCATTGGTTTTCTGGTTGCTGTACTCTAACTCTGCTCAAGCAGTAGCACCGAAAATAATGACTGTAGGAAAACTGTGTTGTTTAAAAATGAAAATATGAAAGTAGGATTCCTCCGAACAGACTGGCCATGATTAGTCAATATTGGATCCTATGGGGGCTTATTTGTCCTATTGGGACCAATTAGGTCCTGCTGGAACCAATTGGGACCAACAGTTGGGACCAATAGGGACCAATTGGGTCCCATTGGGACGGATAGGGTCCTATTGGGACCAGTAGGACCTAATTGGTCCCAATAGAACCCAATTGGTCCTATTGCTCCCAATAGGACGCTATTCGTCCCAACAGGATCCAATTGGTTCCTACTGGTCCCAACAGTACCCAATTGGTCCCAACTGGTGGTCCCTGTTGGTCAAAAGAGGGCCCAATCTGGTAATGGCGAGTTCCTCTATTATCACCACCACGACCACCACCATCACCACGATCACCACCACCAAGTCGTTTTAAGTTTTTCCGATTTTCTTTCGCCCAAGCTGTTTTGTTTGCATCCGACACCATCGACGATGGGGTGGACGTTGACGACGATGTTGACGTTGTTGGATCATCGAGAATGGGTGTGAGTGTTTGCTGTTGTTTCTCAACGGCTGCCGTTTTTTATCTAAAAAGAAAGTATTCTTTTTTAATTCAAGATTTGAACGGATGTTCGTATTTTATGCGTTTGATGAAGTGAGACGAATGAATGATTTATGAGAGTGCAAGATAAACTCTCTCATTGTGTTATTATTCCTTTACTTTCTATCTTTTCTTGATCGTCATTGAAATTCGAAAATAACGATGCTTTTTAAAAGCACGTATAAAGACACATAACATGTGCGCCATGTATGTCTATCTACTCTTTGTCTTTTTCACATTGCGAAACAAAGACCATACCTGGTTGCGTAAGCACAAGTACGATGAGATATCTGGCGGAAACGGATACGAAGGGCCGAATATCAAGAGGAAAAGAAAGAAAACAGTAAAATAGGTGAACTAAAACGGGAGTTGTTACATATAAAAGACGAGTTCCATATGACCGACGCTGGATTATCTGCAATGTGGAACTTTTTTAAAACTCGTAAGCGTTTTTTTTCCTTGAATGAAGTAGAGCACGTGAGAAAGCGAGCCAATGAAAAAATTTCTCTTATCTTCGATAAAAACAGTGCCTACGTGAAATTTGAGTTCGCTGCACGAACAGCTGTTTACACGGCAACAAAATTTAATAGCGAAGTGTGGAATTTAAACCAAGTAACGTTACGTTTGAACATGGATGGAACGATGCTTGGTAACAAACATATCGTGAGCATATCAGTTAATTGTATAGAAGGAGGACGTGTGTGTCAAACGGCAAAAAAGCTTGTCCCTGTGGGAATTTTCGAGGTTCAGTCAGAGTCTAACGAGATGTTGTGAAAAATTCTTCCAAAAGAGTTTCTCGATAGTATAAAAGCTGCCAAAACAATTAGAATGAAACGAAAACACGTAGCCGTGAAGGTGGAACTAAGCGGAGATTTCATGAATGACGGAGGTTTCATGAATAGTTAAGATCAGGTGAAGCGATATACGGGAATGAGATAAGTTGTCCGTTTTTTGCTGAGATTATCAGGCGTTGTTCATCACCGAGTAAATGTACGTGATTAGGATTTATTCAGTCATTTCTGAGGAGAAGAGATGTGATTAGATTTGTTGCGACGTCAGCTATTATGTAGGTTTTAATTTTTCCAAGTTTAATTTCCAGTTCCACTTGACCGATGATGTTGATCGGTGAAGAGTTAGCTGCTTGACAGTCGGTTTCTTACCGATGAATTTTTGATGATAAAGAGTCCTTAGAAGATTTTGGTGAATTATCGTGATGGCGGATCCAGTGTCGACGATCGCATATGTTGATTTTCGGTTTACTTGGACTTTGATATAAATTGGAGAGGTTGATGTTGCTATTGATGGCTTCTGAGGTTTACTGGGGACACCGCCATCCCGTGACCCAGTTATTGAAAAGACGGTGGATTCGTGCAATCGCGAACTGAATGATTCTGTCCGCAATTGAAACAGTCTGATGGATTTTTGTGGCAACAATCAGTGGCACGATGGTTCTTTTTTCCGCAAATTTTACAGGGAGTAAATTGAAACGATGACGAAGTTTGTTTAGTCTGATCCATCACTGGTTGTTTCGTTGTCGATTTGCGTGGAATTTCTGACGATTTCAATAATTTACGATGAGAACCTGGAATAAATGATTGCTGTCTTTCGACAGATTTCCCGATTTCCAATTGTTGTAAATCCCGGCTGGAATGATTTGGATGTCGATATGGCCGTTGATGAATGACGGCCGTTACGGTTGTTGATTCCGGATTCATGAAGATGTATGGTTGTTGGGGTTGAATTTTCATTTCTTGAAATTTTTCAAATTGTTCATGAATATCTTGTTCCTTTTTTGCCACGGTCAAAAACGTTGCAATTTGATCAATCTGGGGGTCATGGCTAGAAAGTTGTTTCCGAAATTCAGGACGAACACCGTTCATAAGATGTTGGACAATAATCCTCTAAGTCATACCTGTGTCGACTTCTCGACACACTCGACGCCGGCAGGTCATGTAATAACTTTGGAAAAGTTATTTGTGTATTAGTGTCTCGGAACACCCGTTCGAGAACATACTACGTTGTGATGTATAAGACAGCTCCTCTGGCTAATCTGCGTAGCTTTGCGAAAGGGTAGTACGTGGTTAATGAGTGCATATGGAGAGCTCATGTAATTAGTCGAAAGGACTCTGCGCATTGGCGCAACATCAAATATTAAGAGTTAACCCTCTGTCACGAGCTATGGTTGATAGCTAGTAATGAGATGGATGACCACGTCAGTAGCTTGTAGGAAAGATATCAAGCTATTGAAACTGACATTCGGCAACACCCTATACCACAAACGGTGGCCGCAAGACTGAGTATACTTCTATTCTTCCTTCATAGATATACACACGTACTAAGTTTAAAGTATTATAGATTTTGGAGCTGTAGCTATAATTAGGAACCTGTAGGTATGAGAGGTACCAGGGGCAGAGATAGGCAGCGGCTTATACAGTACAGATGTGGAATAACTTTATTGTAGATACTAGAGGAACTAGAAATTTGAGCTTTATGGGTATGTAAGGTGTTCCAAATTCGAAAGGTAAGCAGAAAAATAGATTTCCTTGAAACACACTTGGTTGGATAGAGCTCGTCGAGCTGATTCTGAATATTGTCTTTTTATCGGGTTTTAAGCAAGTTTTGGGGAGAAATCTTCAAAATACCGCAATAGTCACAAAAAGTGAAAAAGTGAAGTTATGACCGTTTTCCGTTCACTCTACTTTTTCGAAACTATTTCATTCGGGTTCAGCATTCAGCATCAAAAAGTGAGTGTATCCATGTACTTTTTCACTTTTTGTGACTATTGCGGTATTTTGAAGATTTCTCCCCAAAACCGAAGAACCATTCATAACACAAGAACCCGAGGTACACTAAAGCTAACGACTTGGATTTCTACGTTTTTGACTATGCGCTTGAAAACGAACTTGATTTGAGACATCAACTGAGCATCATCTGTTGGAGCTCTCGCGCGGTGAACCGTAGGAGTAGAATCATCAGAAATATTTTTTTCTGTTGGTGTGCTGTGTCACAAAATTGTCCTAAAAGTAAAAATGCATATTTCGTAATCAAAAAATGCTGTTGCAAAATTTTAGCTGTAGTCAAGGGAGCAAGGAATAATATTTTGAAAAATATTTTTTATTTGAAAAAACCGTCAATCATCCTTGAAATATGCATCGTTCTACTTCAATCTGACATTTTCTTCGTGAAAAATTCGCTTTATTCGATGATTTTTTTTGGATTTTAATGCTACCGCTATATTTGTTTTTAAAATTTCACGATGAACTTATTCATTCTTGAGTCTTTGCTTCTATTTTGTAGATGCGCAAAGTGCATACAGATAGAATTTCTCACGAACCTGTTTTCTGGATAAAAGTCCGCTTTGTGCGAGCTTCTATCGTTCTAAAAGATCGGATAATTTTGGGAAAGCGATGTTCCGTATGAAAACCTGACCTTCAAGAAACCTCAGCTTTTACGTAGAATCGAATGTACACAAAATAATACACCTTAATTTTGACCATGTATAGTGTAATGGTGGATTGCCTAGCAAAACCTCTCTTTAACGAAATTTTTTATTGGATGGAGAACTGAAACCAAATTTGTTTTTTCAGGCAGATGTCATTTCAAAATTATCACAACTGGATTACTTTCCTAATTTAAAAATTTTACATATTTCATTTACTTTAGTTACATCAACAATACCTACTGGATTCAATACACATCTAGTAAGAAGAATACAGTCTGTTCAACAACAGAAAAGGCCGATTTGTGCAAGTTGAATAACTTTTGATAGGAATGTGCTAAATTATTTTAATTTCACTTCTTTGAATATATACGAATAGCATAGTTTCAAAAGTTTTCAGTCACAAGAACAGGCAGAAAAAGATCCTTCTTTAAGGCTCAATTCTCTTCAGAAATACGTTCTAAATCATAAAAGAGCATCCGTACACGAGACTGAAACTGCCTCTGTTCTATATAGGACAATTAATAGCGTACTAAAATTTAAATAAATACTCGCAATGGTGCAACGCACTAGTTGCGATGTCGACAGACCGTGTTTACTCAGCTAGAGAGTTTTCAGTACTCTACATTCCCCACGACTTTCATGTTTAAGTACTTAGAAGAGAGAATTAAAACGACAGTTCGAAGAACAGAAAGGAGAAAAAAATTATTTTTCTTTAGTAAATTCAATGGCTAAATCTCTTCAACATATGGCGCTGAATTAGACATGAGCGGGATCGTCCCAGCCCCCATCTGAAAGGAGATGAGATGAGGACTTAAAAATGTTCTGGTCGGGACTGCAACCGGGTTTAAACCGACTTTGATCGGAACCGGGACTAGAATCAAGAACTCATTTTACCAATTTCGTTAAAACAGTAAAAGTCTACCCTTTTTTCTGTCTTCCCTTTTTGAGAGTCTTCCCTTTTTACTGTATTAGAACGTAACACAGTTTTGAATCGTAACGAGTTCAAAACAGCTTCCCAATCTGAAAGAAGACGTTAGTGTTTTTCATTTCAGAGTGGATCTGATTAGACTTGAAAATGTTTTATTTCTTATTCATGTTGTATATTCGTAAAAAATAACAGTGTTCCTCAGATAGCATATGACAGTTCAATCGAGTGAGGCAATTGCTATTATGAAAATCGAGACAGAAATCTGTTTACTTTTAATCGGCCTCTTGTATTATAATGAGCTCTCTAAATATACAACTGAATGAAAAGAAAATTAAACTAATACAGTGTTCATCCGTTTCTTCTGACACTATGTTCAGTGAAATTATAGTCTTTTGCTCTGTGTCGGAATCAAGAACTCTTTTTACCAATTTCGTTAAAAGAGTAAAAGTCTACCCTTTTTTCTGTACTGAAATATAAATTTTTTACAGCAGTGTGTAGTTTAATAGTTGGCAGATGTTGATCTTTTCATATATTCTATTTACGGTATGATACAAACTTTATTAGAAGGACAAAACCTCAGTTTGAGATTTAGCGCATTAAAGAGTTTGTCAACTTGTACGAGTTCAAAACAGCCTCTCCAGCCTCCCCTATACTATATTGAAACATAACACAGTTTTGAAATTTTGACGAGTTCGAAACAGCTTCCCAGTCTGAAAGAAGACGTTATTGTTTTTCATCTCATGACGAGTTTAGAGACTTGCGCCCGTGGAACTGATCAGACTTGAAAATGTTTCATTTCTTAAGAAATAGTATTAAATTTCTAATTAATAGTATTAATTTGAAATAGTAGCGATAGAGAATTTCACGGGCTTCAAAATGATGTATAAGATAATCTTAACGAAATGTAACTAGGTAGTCTAAGTTAATGTTTTGCCAACTTCGACAAATTCTTTCCTAGTTTTGGGGTCATATTTCGAAAGCTTGTGAAAAACTGATCCAAACTGTGTGTATGTCTCGTGAGTTTAAGACTTCGTTATGGTATAAAACTACGTCTAACATGGAAAATTGCCTGTGTTTTTCGATTTTTCGCGTTTTTGGCCCAACTTTTTGTCCAAATGATGTTTTATCCGATTTTCCCGCATGGTTCTGATAGCCCGCTCTTTCTTGCACACGGCTATACGTATCTGGAAATTTTAGACCTGAATATGGTATGAACTGAGCGTACATTGGATAGATCTGTGAAACACCTTCTTTCAGTAACTTTTGAATTTTGGTTTACCATTTCAGTTTTTTGAAATACCAATGTCATATTCATGATCAGCGTCAAATTTTGAGTCTAGTGGTGTATCTTTTTCGTTTGATGACAAACATTTTTCGATGTTCCAAAGGGGGACCTTAGTCGTAACATTTTTGATGAAAAATGGAAGTGGTTTTCTGGAAAAACAAATTAGTCTGGCTTGTTCAGAATTCGACGCTGATTCTAACCACGTAGTTTTTTCTCGAGAATTTTTTGGGATGAAAAATAGACTTACCACCATCAGTTTAATAGTATTCTCTATCGAATGCTGTGTAAAGCAGAGTGATTAACGAGAAAATTAGTCACCATTATTAATATGAGCGACGTTGACCTACCGGTTTCCTAGGAAACTACCGAGTATTTCGGGTGTTAGACTACCCAGTTACATTTCCTTAAGATTATCTTATATATCATTTTAAAGCTAGTGAAATTCTGTATCGAATGATATATAAAGTGGAGTGGTTAACGAGAAAATAAGGCATTATTATAAACATGAACCATGTTGACCCGTCGGTTTAGTAAGATGCTACCGAGTATTTTGGATCTTAGACTAACCAGTACATTATCTTAGGACTATCTTATATATCATTTTGTAGCTCGTGAAATTCTCTATCGAACGGTGTATAACAGTTGATATTTGCTCTGGGTGAAATAGGTTGAGTAATGTAAATACTTGAGAAAACGTCGCTTATGGCGAGAAGAGTTTTTTTTGCTAAAAGATTTCCAGGCGCACTGAGAAGGATTTTTAAGATTTAAAAATATGTTAACGTTAATCAAGGACAAAAACTGCATCAGATGAGTTAACATAAGACTGATTTGAACGTGGGCCGATGTTGCCTCTTATCGTCCTCCGTCTTTTAAAACTCAGTACATCAATAAAACGAAATGAGATATCAGCTTTTCATTTTAATTTCATCGAAAACTGTTTATTACCCGACAAAATTTGTTGATATTAGATTTGATCACAATGTTTTGTCTGCTAGGTGTGACATGATCTTTGATGTTATCACTATTAAATCCGGATAACATTCGATGATTTCATTTGAATAATATTGATTTCTTTAATACATTTATCTAACTGTTGATCATATCATCGGTAATCGGCCACGCTGATCGTCATGGATATGTTTTTTTCATTCTTCACTCAACTAGAACCCCAACAAAGCCAAACTGACGAAAATCCGGTTTTTCGCCTGTTAGCGTCAAAAACCATATATTTCACTCATTTCTCGTTGAAATAGACTGAAATTTTTAGGAAATGATTAACCGAGATCACAGAGTGTCGAACTGGTCGAAAAAGTTGGATCTGAACTTTGGTTGTATGGGAGGTTTGGTTGGTTGTATGGGAGATCCGCTAAAAACCCGTATGCATAAATTGAAAATCTTATGTAACTGTTTTGGACTAGTTCGACACTCTGTGATCTCTGCTAATCATTTCCTAAAAATTTCAGTCTATTTCAACGAGAAAGGAGTGAAATATATGGTTTTTGATTTTTGACGCTAACAGGCGAAAAACCGGATTTTCGTCAGTTTGGCTTTGCTGGGGTTCTAGTTGAGTGAAGAATGAAAAAAACATATCCATGACGATCAGCGTGGTCGATTATCGACGATATGATCCGCGGGTTTTTGAATTTCCAGACGTGTCTGAAACCAGACAGGTGTGTCCTCGGAAATCGTCCGTATGTCCAAAACCAAAGGAGACGAAGGTCTGGGCCTTGTGTGGTTTTGAGGAGTGATATCCTGGCTATCGATTGGTGTTATTTGAGATTATATTTCATAGTGTGGTTTGGGAACGGTAAGCACTCAGATTTTGTCTCGGATGGTACACCATAGTAAACCTTAACGGGAGCCCTGACTTTTCATAGGTGTACGTCTCAAAGTGTCTCGTTTTAGAATCTGAAGATCGAGAGTCTCTAGCTCTTTTCGTTAAAAAGTTGTTTGCATTTTGCTCAGGGATCTTCCTTTTAAAAACGCATAATAGTTCGTATTTTTCCGGTTTTCCTCGATTTTCTCAAAAATTGAAAACTCCTGGATTTTCACTCAAAATCCGTAATTGTCGAAGAATTGTCGCCACTTAAGTCCGAAGTCGATGACAACTGGCATTCTCCAGTTTATGAAGAGTCTCATAGCATACGTCGAACTACTCTTGAGTATCATGGTATGATCGTTAACGTGTCTATTTGATTGAAGCCTACATCAATTAGTGTATGTTATTGTCAATCCAACTTCTAAAATAACTGACTCGTGTGTATATACCGAGCGCACCACAACCCGCACCTTCACTTACTATCCCGGTGCAGGTCCAAGTGTTATTGTAACTAGTCACGAGAGGAGATCCACTATCACCTTGGCATGCATCAGTTGTTAAATAACCAGCACAAAAACGTGTCGTTGTATCCGATAAACTACAACCTGCAGTAATTCGAATTAGACCTTCTTGCAAAGTATCGGATACGAAAGTAGCTGAATAAGAAGTCTTTCCCCACCCCATGATAACGGCAGTTTGGCCGATTGTTGGTAGTCCACTATCTGCCGGTGGCAAACAACAAGTTGCTACACTACCACTTCCGTTGAAGGGCTTTGATAATTTCAGAATGGCAATATCATATAAATCCACACCAGACGCACTTGTTGGTGTGTATATATTCGTTACATTTTGACTTACTGCTGAAGTTCTCTTACTTAAACTTTGTAACCCTGCATACACCTGTATCGTATCAACCCGTGTAGTGCTGCTCACAACGCAATGAGCTGCCGTTAACACGTATTGAAGATGAATGAGACTACCGCCACATTTAAAAGTTCCATCAATATACAGAGCTACCATCCATGGCCATGAATTAGCAGTTGCAGCGTAACCGTGAGTTATTCGTGTCTGGAACGTGGGTTGAATTTGAGGACAGCCACATGACGCGGAACTACTTGAACAGCTGACGGTCGGTACGGTAAGTGCAGTGGAGCTGCTAGAACTTTTGTGTAACCCAATACCCAGTCCAACGCCAAGAGCAATAGCAATTGCCCCCAGTATGAGTATACCAAATAAGCAAACAATTGCACCGGTAATTAGTCCAATAGTGAGCTTCGAAGTGCCGGTATTGGCTATCACAGGAACTACACCATAATTTGGAGCTGCATAGTTCATTGTCAAGAATGCCTGATATCTGTCTAGTAAGTGAGAGCAATGTATTTTTTGTCAAGATCATGCACAGTGTAGAAAAATATAACTGCTCTGCAGGTGAATCTAGGAGGAAGTCACCTTGATTGAAAACAGTTTTTCTATTCTTCAAAACGGTCTGTCTCTAAGTATGAGTGATATTAGATGATATATCAGGTGTAAGGTTTCTTTCATAAAACGGTCCTTTCGGTTAAAATAATAATCATTTATCAATAACTAGCTGGTAGAAGGCCATATTGATCATTACATGATATACTACTATTCCGCAAAAATGCTTAAATCAGCCGCACTACATGTACTCAAGGATACTTTTTTTCTTTCCGGAAGCTTGTATATTGAATTTTTCGACCAAAACGTTTTTTTTTATAAAAAGAAGTCTCACTTCTGATAACGATAACATGCAATTACCACTCATGCCTTTCAGCGTTGTTAAGAAAATATTTTTCAATTATTGAATGGTTAGTCGGGCTACTCCTGTTATTTAAGTAAATAAAATACGTTATAAATCAATCAATATTCGTCAAAATTACATCATATAGAAATTGCAGAGAAAACTGTCTTGAACGATTTCGAAACTATCTAATACCACTCTCCGCCCGTGTCATTAATGCGTTTGTATCGATATTTCACCTTTTAGCCAATGTTCACCCATCGTACCTGCATTCTTGTTTTGCATAGCTATAGTTATTTATTTAAAGAGGATTGCACTATAGAAGTATTTCCCTATGGGATATTCAGTTTTCCGATAGGGTGTAGATGTATGTTCCGTCGAGAATCAAAATGACTTTATCTGGATCATCATTTGCTAGCAGTTGTTGTGCCAAAGGACGAGTATGTTCTGTAATCACTCTTTCTCTAGTTATATACTCAAATCCAACATTTTTACATACGAAATGCTTAGTCAAGGCTGAGCTTACACTGTCTAGTATTCTTGTCATTTGCTGTTGTTTTTTTCTATTCCGGATATGCGTTTGACGACTTAAACCGAGGCGGAGTTTAACTAGTAGTATGGCTATGGTTGTTCTCGTCGATCGTATATCAAGAGAGCAAAGATCGTTGAATTGTTCTTCGGACAGTCCTGTTAGGACACGGCAGTTAGCGTCCGAAACCTTGTCGTCGAAGCTCAGTGGCGACTGTTCTTTCAAACTCTTAATCTTTTCGACTTTACTGTTCACTTCATTCTTCATGTCACCAAAGAGTTTTATCATTTCTTCTCTATTAAGTAGACATTCACTTACTTTCTTTTACTTCACAGTTTCTATCACTTTTTTGAGTGACGCATCGTTATTAATGTGGTTCAAACAACAGCGACTGCCTTGTGGTAAATAAATGTTATAATTCAGCAAGCAACTTACACGTATATCATTGCCAAGTTCTACGGAACGTGACTTCGCTTCAGCAAAATAAACATCACATATAGAACATTTGTTAGATTTAGGTAGCTTGTAAAAAGATAGTTAGACCGACAGGTTTTCGCTAGAGGAAGTAGAAGTGGAAAATGATTTGGAATTATATAGTGTAGTAGGAGTGTCAGTGGTGGTGGCTGTAGTAGTAGAAGTATCCATCAGACATTGATCATACGGTGCTTCAGTTTGTGTTGCTACGTCCAGTTTATCTACATCAGCTTCCATGTCTGTTTGCTGCTCCAGTTTCGAGATGTTTACTTTTCTAGATGCTTTGCCACGCTTTTTATCGTATAACTGCGAGAAGCACGAGTTGTGAATCGGTAAATGAAGATTCAGTGATACAAGATTGTTAATGATACTGTATATTAATAAGTCCACGTTATTTTCTATGAACGACATTTTTCGGTATTCTGGAAGGATTTCTCACATAACATAAACAACAACTCTTTTCTTTTATATTGTCAGCCATCACAAAGACTTGTAACAATTATAGCGAAGTGTTTATGCACTATGTCAACTATCATGAGCTTTGTAGCACTTACCTTGTCTGTGTTATTACTGGGGAAGCCAAAAGAAAATGTCGTTTTTCTATTGTCTATTGTGTCTTTTACAGAATGCACTGCGATAAGTTGCGGTAATGTAAATTTGTACGAAAATCTGTGGTTATAAACCAGCACCACTCCGCTGTATATTTAGAAACTTCGATGTGTTATATCATAGGACCTGTTTTACCCATTTACAATTCAAGTTCAGAAAGGCTTGTGGACTATGTCTTAACTGATAATTGTTTATGGTTAAATGGTTCGCACAGAAATATATACTCAAGGCATGCATTCTATTGTTGCCCGTAGCTACCACGAAATGAAATGCTTGGTTACCGACAGCCTAGCGTCACCATCTGACTGTTGTACATAACAGTGAGCCACTGTGGGAGTTCGATAACCCCTAGCAGGCGGATATAATCATATTTCTGCAATAAAATAGCATAATCTGGCAGAGAATAGTCACCATTCTAACACACTGATTGACTTTCAGTGAAACCACGACGAAAACTGCCAAAAAACATCATATAAACTTTATCATCGCAATCACACCGGAGAAACACTGTGACTTCAGCGTTTTTCACAATTTTTGATCAATTATAATAAAGTTTTTCAAAGTTTCGAGATCATATTTGAAAAGCTCATGAAAACCTGAATCGAATTTCGTTAATCACTGTACTTTACACAGCATTCTATAGAGAATTTCACGGGGTACAAAATGATATATAAGATAGTGTTAAAAAAATGTAACCGGGTACTTTAGGATCCGCAATACTCGGTAGAATCCCAGGAAACCAGTAGGTCAACGTCATTCATGTCTATAATAGTGACTAATCATCCCGTTAACCACTCCACTTTATATATTATTCGATAGAGAATTTTACGGGCTTCAAAATGATGTATACGATTATCTTTAGAAAATGTAACTGGGTAGTCTAGGCTCCGAAATACTCGGTAGCATCTCACCAAACCTGTGGGTCAACCTCGTTGATGTTTATAATATCCATTGATTTTCTCGTGAATTACTCCACTTTATATGTCATTCGATAGAGAATTTCACGATTTCTGAAAAGTCCATGATAATTAATAAAGTTCTCTTTGATCTGTTCAGACTGAAGAGCACATCAAGGATTATGTACATGGTTATCCTAGTTTCTAATTTCTAACGGATTTGCCAAAACTTGCCAGATTTGCTAAATATTTGCCAGATTTGGCAGATGCCAAATTCTGCCAAATTTCGCCAAAAAACCAACCTTTTTAAAATTTTTTTTGGTCGACTGCTACAGCAGAATTTTATTTCATTTGATGAAAATGGAAAACAGTGATACAGCTGCGAACAGGGAGTTTCGTAGATAAAGAAAAAATGTACACAAAACAAAGTTAGAGATGAGAGAGAAAGGCCAACGCCAAGTGTCTGTTTGATTTAATCTTGTTCACTTTTTTCTTTTTCTTGGCGGCTGCTTTTTTGCTGACAATTTTTCAAAAACTATTAAATTTGCCGGTAGATTTGACATTTTCGACGAGACGTTCTTGATTCGTGTGGCGACGAGAACAATGTCTTCTGCGGTCAGAATCGATGCGACATTGGCCTCAGCTTGCCACAGGTTGATGTCGGCTGTTGTAGGACGTATGTTGACGTTTTTTATTTCATTCAGCCACTGTGCGAATGATGTTGAATGACCAAAGTTGCGAATTATATTTTTAAAAAATATATTCATTCAGTACTGATAAAAGCTGTGTACAAAAATGAGAACGAGTGAAAAGGAAGAAAGTGAAATAAGAAATGGCTTACTAAAATTTAGGCTGACTTATCAAATATTTGGCAAATTTAGCATATAAGTTCAAATTGGGCAAATTTGGCATTTGGCAAATTATTTGGTAAATTTTTGGCAAAATCTGGCATTTCGCAAATTTGCTAAATCGGCAGCAACAATTTCCTAAATAATTTGGCAAAATTTGGCATATTTTGGCATCTGGCAAATACGCCAAAAAATAGCCAAATTTGACGAATATTTGCCAAATTTGACGAATTTTGGCAAATTTTTGGCACATTTTTGGCAAATTTTTGGCAAGTTTTTGGCAAATTTAGCGAATGCCAAATGTAATCGTTTTCAACCTGTCCCACATCGAGTTGTGTATAGAACACTAATTTTCTCCGTTTCGGAACGACTCTGACGAAACCTATTATCGGTGCTAAAATACAGTGTAGGTTGCCATTTTTTTTAAATAACTCAATAACAGCGTAAGACAGAACGTTGCGGTTTCTAGCAATCGAAAACAGATACCTGAGGCTAGCTTCTCACATGCAAAAACGATCTTTTAAAAAAATCTGCAACCAGTTTTTGAGCAGATGTTTGGATCTCTGAAAACTGATATAGAAATAGATCGATCTTTTTTCATAGACAGATAGTCCAAGGTGTCCTGTCCAAAACACAAATTAAGCGAACTCTTAGTTTCTCATGGTTTAGGCGTGACATCTTGAAAGTAAATACTTTTCTTTTATTTCAAAGGACTGATGACGGTAAGTCTATTTTTCATCCCAAAAAATTCTCGAGAAAAAACTACGTGGTTAGAATCAGCGTCGAATTCTGAACAAGCCAGACTAATTTGTTTTTCCAGAAAACCACTTCCATTTTTCATCAAAAATGTTACGACTAAGGTCCCCCTTTGGAACATCGAAAAATGTTTGTCATCAAACGAAAAAGATACACCACTAGACTCAAAATCTGACGCTGATCATGAATATGACATTGGTATTTCGAAAAACTGAAATGGTAAACCAAAATTCAAAAGTTACTGAAAGAAGGTGTTTCTCAGATCTTTTTCATTTCGACAAAACGTTGCGCCAAAAACGCGAAAAATCGAAACAAACAGACCGATGGGTCAACGTGGTTCATGTTTATAATAATGACTTATTTTCTCGTTAACCACTCCACTTTATATATCATTCGATACAGAATTTCACTGGCTTCAACATGATATATAAGATAGTCTTAAGAAAATGTAACTGGATAGTCTA